CAGTCTCATTCAGCAGCGCGCGAGGGCGGGAGGGCACTAACACAGGAAGCACCTCTAGTGACCGTCTGAGTGACTGTCACTAGCAGTGTCACTTTGAAGCAATGTAAACACTGCCTTTTGTCTGAAAAGTCAGTGTTTACGTTGAAAAGCCTGTAGGGACATGCTATAGACACCAGTACCACCACATTAAGCTGTGTGTGTGTGTATCAATGAGCTTGTGTGTGTCACTGAAATGTCAGTGAAATTGCCTGTGTCTGCATGTGTGTATGCTTACTGTATAATTAAACGTTTTACCCCGAAAGGACCAATATTTTATATTAGAAAAAGCAATATATATATATATATATATATATATATATAAATTACTCCATCATCTGTCCTGGCAAGACATAGCCTTGCATATTACACGCGACAATATATGGCGCAGTGACTTATGGGGCTGGCACAAATTTTTTTTCCAGGGCTGCTTTGTATCCCCAGTCCGGCCCTGGATGGGAGAGAGAGTTAAACTAGTTTATTGAAATGCTTTCCTAAACAAACAAGCATTATTGATACTCCAGCTCAGGTTTCACTATTGTAATACTATTTAATGAGAACAGTTCAATAACACATATGCCTAACTGGGGTATTATATTAGGGAAATCAGTAATTCAGCATCCTGCTTCTAGTGAGCAGACCATTGTAAGAGGGCAAGGTTTAACCAATGTGAGCGGATGACTTTTGGCTTGGATTGAGCAGAACCTGCTAGGGCAAATATACAAGGAAACAAACAGAAACTAAATAAGAAGGCACTCCATTCTCAGAACCACCATTGAAGACAGAAAAAAAGGAGATAACCTTTTTTATCTTCCATATTGTTTGCTGTATACATGCTTCCAATGGAAGACATATAAAAAATCATGGTTTAGGGCAAGGATCTCAGACCCTCCCCAAATGTTGCTGTTCTACAAATCCCAGACTTTTTTGAGTGAAACGGATACATAGTTTGAGATGCCTGGTCTAGGCTAACATGATGCTTGTGATAAATGCATTTATTATTTTAACCAGGGTGTCCCTGACTGTCTTCTTGATCCAACCCCTCATGTTGATGTGCTTTGTTCAATAACATTCTATCAATCTGAAACCAAGACTGCGGTGTCCGTACCTCACTTCCTTCATCCACCTTTTTGTGTCTCACTCTAAGAGAGCTATGTATAATAATTATATAAAAAGTGCTGTGGCACTACCTATTTGTGCCTATATCATTTTATTTTCCTGTTCCATTTTTGTTCTCTCGCACACCACACCCACCCTCCAAACACAAATACCACGTATACCACGACATATATTAAACAAAAAAAGTGAAAAGGGTCAAAAGTGAAAAGGTAAATAATGTATACAAAATCCTTTAAATTGAGAATGCATTGTTTTCCTAGTATTATTACTCATTTATCTTATTTTGTGATTTAATCAATGGTAAAATAAACAAGAAAAAATTTGAAAGAATCCAAATTAGGAATAAACGTGAAGGGAAAAAAACTCCAGAATTGGCACAATAGAGGTACCCCAAAAGTTTGGAGTAACAATTATATGCATAATGGCATGTGCACATGCAACAGGCACAAGCGTAAAAGCAAATGCGCACATAAACCGCTATGTCTTCTAACACCTTCTTGCGGACACACAACCTGATATAATTTTGTCTTCCTTCGACCCATCCTTCTTTCCCTTACCTTCTCTGCAAACTGCACATCAGCAGCAGACCCTCCTTCCCAGACCCTCCCACCTCCTGGACAGCTCACTAAGAATGCAGCTTCAAAATGGATGCTGTCCAGGAGGTGGGAGGGTCTGGGAGGGAGGGTCTGCTGCTGATTGGCTGGAATGTGTCTGCTGACTGGAGTCCGCGGCGAACCGTTCGTGGCGAACTGCGGCGAACCGTTCGGGACATCACTAGTTCCAACATATGTGACGGAACACTGGCACTCCGACTGAGTACCTCCGCCAATTGATGCTCCTAGCGCTTGCCGAGGACTCCAAGCACTCTAACCGACACCATCAGCACTGCAGACCCCACTTCCAGCGATACAGCTGCGCCAGGGTCTCGCCGTTTCCACCCACCCTGGATCCACGACCATGATCCAGCTTCCAGTGGGTGAACCTCTCCTAAATCCAGAGAGCGTAGCAGGAACAAATCAAGCTATTGCAAGAGCTTACTCTGGGGAGTAAGTGATTATAGCAATCCCCAGAGTGTAGGTATCCCTTCCCCCAAACATGAGCCAAGGCTTCAAGAAAGGTACAAGATGATCTGGTTTTAATGACCACACACTGGCTTTTAGGCAAGTCCCCATGCAAGGGACATCCCACAGGGAGGGACCCAGTATAACCAATCACAGACAATACAAACAAAACACTCCCACAGTGACATCACAATCCCTCCTCTCTATCTTGGAGATAATTGGGAAGTAATGAAATTTTCTCCCAGGACAGAGGAAAGACTCCATTAACCACATGGTTACAAAAAGACATAAAATTACACAATGTTACAATTACTACATAAAACATATACATGCAACATATCCCCAGATAGCTTAGATCTGAGTGCACATTATTATTGAATGGTGCTCAGATCACATACATACAATTCAATCGCCATGGAGCCAAAGTCTTTTCCATAGTCTTTTGTTACACAAATAGGCTCCATGGCATAGCTATCTTGGATAGCACTATTACCATACTGAAAGTCCAGAACGCCCCAGCAGAAATACACAAATAAACCTTTCTGCAGGGGAAAATACCGCTATCAGCACATGGGCCATAGTCGGAAGGCAGAAGGCTAGCCAGTAGTCCCTTCCAGGCACAAGTGGCGAAGTGCACTTTGTCACAACATATAAATCTAGGACAGCAATAAAAACGGATTTATCACCATTCCTTAGAGCTGGTCAGGTTTAATGGTATTGGCAGAAACAAGAATGCCCAAGGAGAGGACAAAGCAAGGGATATAAAGAGACAACAAGCCACGATCTAATCCCAGATTAAGCAAACGCAGGAAAAACACAATCCTGGGCTTCTAGAGACCATAATAGGGCACATGACTACTAGTGGACCAAGTTGGAATACCCCTAATGTCAAACATCAGCAGAGTGGAGCCGTAACGTGATAGACCTGCAACACTGTACACCACAGAAGCATGATTTATGGCACAGGTTGATGCTTCAATACCGCCTCGCATCAATACCGACGCTGGACTGATGCAAGGTATCCAAGTCAAGTTGCAACGTTGAATAGAGAGGACAAAATAAAAGTAGCAGCCAATTCTTTACAAAACATAAAATAAATATATAATTATATATAACAGAGCACAATTTTCAGATGAATTTGATTAATTCAGTCCCGGGAAAAGAAGAAGCAACAGAAATTTTAGCCATTACGGTCAAAGCATAATTGCATTGGCTTTGGTAGCAATGCAGCAGATATTTATTAGAAAAAAATATCTACGCTTGATTTAGGCACTTTTGGTTTTTAATCTCTATTGATTTGTGTAAAAGGATTTTTTATGACACCTCCAATGTGATAAATAGACTTTATAGACTAATACGACTATAGAGGGTTTCCTACCAGCAAGTCTCTTATCATTGCTTAATACATCTTTCCTATTGTGTTGTCAACCTTTGCAGTTCTGAAGGATTACATTACCAAACTCTAACAAGATACCAAGGGAGTGGTAGCATTCAGCTCTATAGGAATGTAATGCCCTATTTATTTTTATCTCAAGTAATATTCAATGTGAAAGCATTTGTGTGTTATTTTATTTGTATTGTAATACATTATTGTAATACATTAAATGCAAAAATATTAGGTAAAAATTAGGTAATAATTACATAAATATTAGGTTGCATAATATAACATAAACAGCTGTAATTTTGTTGTTTACAGTTAATGAATGGGCCCAATAAATACCTGATTGCTTTATTAACCCCTCACCTCCCAAATATGGAAGTAGCAGGAAACCAATGCTTGCTCCCTACTAGCTAATTGAAGGTTATGTGCATTCTTGCTTGTTTTATCATTATTACTTTGTAGGTTTTATTTCATAGTGTATCAGATGATATCTCATGCAAGTATTTTTTTTATGGTGGTTGGGGGTTTGATAATTTGTGGATTATTACCTGTGAAATCCCTAAACTATTTGACAGAGATTTCATATGATTCTGAGATTTTTCATATTTATTTTCTTATCTGCTTGTTGGAAAAACAGAATCACACAAAATGACAGATAACTTAAAAGAGCAGTGTAAATTTAAAAATAAATATACTTATTATAGATTTGGCGCCTCTTCTTGGTCATCCAAAAAAGTAAAAGGACCACTATAGGCACCCAGACCACTTCAGCTTAATGAAGTGGTCTGGGTGCCAGGTCCCTCTAGGATTAACCCTTTTTTTTATAAACATAGCAATTTCATAGAAACTGCGATGTTTATAAATGGGTTAATCCAGCCTCCAAATCCTCTAGTGGCTGTCTCATTGATAGCCGCTAGAGGCGTTTGCGTGCTTCTCACTGTGAAAATCATAGTGAGAAGACGCCAGCGTCCATAGGAAAGCATTATGAATGCTTTTCTATGAGACTGGCTGAATGCGCGCACGGCTCCTGCTGCGCATTCAGCCGAAGAGGAGGAGAGGAGGCGGAGAGCTCCCCGCCCGGCGCTGGAGAAAGAGGTAAGTTTAACCCCTTCCTCTTCCCAGAGCCCGGCGGGAGGGGAACCCTGAGGGTGGGGGCTCTATCAGGGCACTATAGTGCCAGCAAAACAAGTATGTTTTCCTGGCACTATAGTGGTCCTTTAATGAAAACACACAAAAAAAATAAAAAAAATTAAAGATCCATTAAAACCACTCGTTTTACCCTGCAATGTAATCATTTGTAGAAACTGCAATGTAATGTTTACATACACACGTTAGTGGCAGTTTTCCATTTAGAGGAGTGTGTGATGCTCACAGTTCAAGTGCATCATTTCTTATTGCTCCTCTATTAGAATCCCATTGGATAGGCGGAGAAGCCGGCAGCACTGCGGGAATACCAGTGCCAGAGAAAAGGTTAGTAAAATTATTTTTGTTATTTGTTTTATTGTAGTTAGCGGGTCGTCGGGACTTACTATAGACTAGAGCAGTACAGCGTTAGAAATACAGGTTTGTATTCCTTAACGCTATAATTTTCCTTTTAACTTACCTTAAATCCAGCACCACTGAAACCCAGTTTGACAGTGGTGCAGAGATGGTGCCCATAGACTCATTAAACAATGAGCTGTAGTGGGTTGGAGCACTTTGATGATTGCCCCTTTAATTTGTGTATAAGAGTATGTCTAAATGTTAGTGTGTGACTGTAGGGTTACTAAGAATATAATCCCATAGGTTTATGGACTGTCCTCAAATCAGGCTAAATGCTTTAATTCCACAGTGTATAAAGCCAGAGGTAAGAGAATGATTACACGTACTGAGTCAGCAAATGATTTAAGAATAGGTTCGAGAGCAACGCTCACACCCTTTGCTTATTCAACGGCTTTTGCAAAACCTTAGGTCTGCTAAACTGGTAGCCAGGGGAATGTTAATCCTTAAATAAAAATGTCAAATAGAACTTTTATAGGTCTGTTAAAAAAAAAAAAAAATCAATAGAGGAAAGGAAGTAACTAAATTATATGAATTGTAAATTGGTAATAAAAATGTGTCAATGTGACGATGTATGTGGAATACAATAAAATGTATTTTTAAATATTTTTATAAATACAAAATAAAGAAAGCCCTTTATTTTAAAGTCTTTAATGGGAAAATAATAAACATGAATATGATTAATTTTCTTCTGCAATTCAATAAGAAAATTTAAATTTACGAGATAGTTACATTGGGATTGACAGTACATTTTTCATTAAAGGACCACTCTAGGCACCCAGACCACTTCAGCTTAATGAAGTGGTCTGGGTGCCAGGTCCAGTTAGGGTTAACTCATTTTTTCATAAACATAGCAGTTTCAGAGAAACTGCTATGTTTATGAATGGGTTAAGCCTTCCCCTATTTCCTAGTGGCTGTCCTCATTGACAGCCACTAGAGGCGCTTGCGTGCTTCTCACTGTGATTTTCACAGTGAGAGCATGCCAGCGTCCATAGGAAAGCATTATGAATGCTTTCCTATGTGACCGCTGAATGCGCGCTAGCTCTTGCCGCAAGCATGCATTCAGCCGACGGGCGGAACGGAGGAGGAGAGCTCCCCGCCCAGCGCTGGAAAAAGGTAAGTTTAAACCCCTTTCCCCCTTCCAGAGCCGGGCGGGAGGGGGACCCTGAAGGTGGGGGCACCCTCAGGGCACTATAGTGCCAGGAAAACGAGTATGTTTTCCTGGCACTATAGTGGTCCTTTAATCACAATTATCATTTAATGGCTCTAACAACTAAAATCCTTTTCAGTCTTGCACTTGCACCTACTCCCTCATCTCAAGCTTTCATGAAGGGAATGGCCAGACCTGTTAACGAGATTTAGTGTAGCTAACCAAAGTGACTGTTTCACATTTAGAATTTCCTAGTAAGATACACTTTGTAAGCCCACCAGCAAGTGTTAACTAGATAAAGACCAAATGAATAAATTAACAATGATTACTAAACATCTATTAACTAGCAACATTCTAGAATACTTTTAAATGCCAGTATTTTCACAAAGATTGGCAAAAATTTAAATCAATAACACAAGAAGAAACCATATAAACACCTATAACCCTCTAACAATTATAGGGTAAACATTATATATAAAAAGTCATTATGAGGCTAGAGGCTTTTTAACCCCTTAAGGACCAAATTTTGGGAATAAAAGGGAATCATGACATGTCACACATGTCATGTGTCCTTAAGGGGTTAAAGTTCTAAAAGTGTTGTAATCACCACAAAAAGCCACAGAATGTTCACTTTTAGAGAACTGCCCTATAAAGCTCTTTAGAAATACATTATATGGACAAAAGTATTGCTACGCTTGACCATTACACTAACAAGGACTTTTATGACATTGCATTCTAAATACATAGACATTAATATTTAGATGGTCCCCCTTTGCAGATGTAAGAGCTTCAACATTTTTGCAAAGGCTTTTTACAATACCTTGGAGTGTTTCCATGTGAATTTTTGTCCATTCATCCAGTAGAGCATTTGTGAGATCAGGCACTGATGTTGGACAAGAAGGCCTGGCTTGAAATCACGGTTTCAGTTCATCCAAAAGGTGTTCGATGGGGTTGAGGTCGGGGCTTGGTGTGGGACAGTGAAGTTCTTCCACACCAAACTCGTCTATCCATGTCTTTATGGACCTTACTTTGTGCACTAAGACACAGAAATGATGGAATACAAAATAGCCTTCCACAAACAGTTCTCACAAAGTTGGAAGCATAGCATTGTCCAAAATGTCTTGGTATGCTGAAGCATTAAGACTTCATTCACTGGAAGTAAAGGCCCTAGGCCAACTTGTGAAAAATAGCTCCATACCATTATCCTACCTCGACCAAACTTTCCAGTTGGGACACTGCAATCAGTCAGGTTACTTTTCCTGGCATCGGCTGATTAGACTGCCAAAAGGAGAAGTGTGATTCGTCACTCCACAGAACATGTTTCCACTGTTCCTGAGTCCAGTGGCGGTGCTTTATACCACTCAATCCGACGCTTGGCCTTATACTTGGTGACTTGAGGCTTGCATGCAGCTGCTCGGACATGGAAACTCATTCCATGAAGCTCCCGCCACATGTTTTATGTGCTGATAGTAATGCCAGTGGAAGTTTGGAACTCTTCAGCTATGGAATCAGCAGATCGTTGTCGACTTTTATGTATCATGCACCTCAACATTCTGTGACCTCACTCTGTAACATTATGCGGTCTTCCTCTTCGTGGATGAGTTGTTGTTCCTAAATGCGTCCACTTTCCAATAATAACACTTATAGTTGAACGTGGAATATCTAGCAGGGATGGAATTTCACAAACTGACTTATTGCAATGGTGGTATCCTATCACAGTGCCATGCTTGAATTCACTGAGCTCTTCCGAACAACCCATTTTTCCCACAGATGTTTGTAAATGCTGACTGCATGGCAAGGTGCTTGATTTGATAAACCTGTGGCGATGGGTCTGATTGAAACACCTGAATTCAATAAGAGGTGTGTCCCAATACTTTGTCCATATAGTGTAACTCCTATTACCCATACCATAATCATTAAACCTATTCAAGAGGACAAAATGGACTATTACAACAAGTCTTTTTTTAATCAATTAAAAAAAAAAATTTTTTTTTTTACTTACTTGCTGTTTGACTTTATATATTATAATATCATGCACAAAAACCAAACATTCGGGCAGATGCACCAATTGACAATGAACTAGCTTTCAGCCCAGAAATATCAGCCATGGCAGAATATACATTAAAGCGTGTTATCACTATTGTCAGGTTCTAAATAATTCTACAGAATACGTTGAACACTAGAACAACACCAGGTATGTACATACTATACACTCCCTAAAAATGGAAATGGTGAGATGCGTGCAATATGTTAACGCTTTTCCCAATTAGTGGATATGGCTTCTTCCGCAACACTCATTGCTGACACGAGCAAACTCAGGCACAATCACAAAGACTGCACAGAAAATATTGGCAGCAGGATGGCCTGTACAGCAAGGTTATTTGACTGTCAGCATGACAACAAGTCAGTTCATCAAAGGCCTGCTCTTCTAGAGATACTCTGGTCAAATGTTGTAGGCCACATGTGATTTAAGAATAAAACCACAGGGTGCAAAAACCTGTAAATCACCTGTCTTATGTTGTAACATTCTCTACCAAGTTCCAAAGTACCTCTAAAAGGAGCGGAAGCTCTAGAAGTGATTCATGGCAAAGGTTCCTATTTGCTAAGCAGCAGCACACAAGCCGCATCTTTCTCAATAATAAGCATTGGGTGATTTGACTTAAGAGGTGTAAAGACTGGTCATGGCTCATTGATGTCCCTCAAATCCCCCACAAAGTGTGCTGCAGACATGCTGACTAAAGCATGCGTTAGTGGTTATAGTTCCCAGAGTCCCCTGGAGCTGTCCAACAGTGATCTGTCAGAGAAAGGTTTGGCGCTGGCTCTATTTCTGGTCTGAGCTGGTATGGTAAAATGTAACGTTCATTCTACACACTCATGCCAACTGTTAACTAGCTGGTACATTATTCACCAGCTGATAACTTGTTTGGTACAAAGACACGTCAGACAAATCTGTTCTTCCAACTATGTGCCAGCAGTTTGAGATAGGCTCTCTATGGTTTAACCCCTTAAGGACACATGACATGTCTGACACGTCATGATTCCCTTTTATTCCAGAAGTTTGGTCCTTAAGGGGTTAAACATGGCAATTCATTTGTGTTGTAAAAAAGGTCCATGCAGAAATAGTTTATAAGCATTGGAAGAACTTGGCTGGCCTGCACACAATTTGAAATTAACCGAGTGCTGATTTTAAGTGATGCCTAACAGTCCAACATCTGTGACCATCCTTCTGTATTGGTTAAATAGATGCAAAGTGCCTCAATAATTTCCATCACCTAATGGAAATCCTTCCCACAAAACAGGAACCAACACCATATTATTTCCCATAATTTTGGAATGACGTACCCACATAATTTTGGTAATGTATGGTATCTCAGCGCATCTACACTACTGATCATCTCTTGCTGTTTTGTTTGTTTTTTTTACAAACTTTAAGCTGAGGTAAGTAGACAACTGATTTCACAGTTTTAGATCCTAATAACTAGGAGTTATGGTAAGTAGACAAATTATTTGAAAATAATTAGGCTGGTAGGTAAATAAATCTCCAGCTGAGCTGAATCAAATGTCTGTGTAACCCGGATATGCTGTATTCCTTTACATTTCTTTAAATTCACTTGAGTTAATGCTGTTTAGTGAACAGAACCCTTAGTAATTCATGGCTGACCCATTTCCTATCCATTTATATTTTCAGCCCAGTTTTGCATTGAGAAATTACAGTAGAAGAATGGCACATCTGGCTGGCCTAGTGGAAAATCTCAATAAATAAATTAAAAAATGCCCAACTTTGACTACAAACCTCTTCTATACGCAATCAAGAAACCATTTATGAAAAATGCATGCTTTCTGTGTGATCTATAGTAAAATGTGAATTCTAGTATAGATTTTGTTTGTTTACTTATTAAGAAACACCATGTTAAAAAGTCA